GTCGGTTATTCGGATGATCGGATGCTCGGTTTCCGATTCGGTTTCGGGGTCTAGCCGGCTCTTTCTCAACTAGATCCTGATTCCACTCGCTCGGTAGATGTGCTACATTTCGGTATATACGATATATACCGGGGGGGGGCGGAAAAGTAAACAAATGTAGAGACTTCACAGAAAGCAAGTGCATCATAATGATATGGGTGTACTTACGCTTACTTTTTTTAAGCTGGCCAGTAGCTTAGTCAGGATGAAAAGCCTCGGATGATCACGCTTGCATACGGCGATTATTTTGTGCACTCTCTCTCTAGTATGGATTAATCATGAACTTTGTGTTCTGCAAGAGTTTCGGTTTTTTTTGGTTTTTAGTTTTTTGTTTGAATACTACTATTCACGCATTATATTCGCGGTGTGCATTTAGTTTTTTCTGACGGTTAAGTCGTCGTCCTTTTGCTCTGCCAATTGAATTATTTGGTTTTTCTTTTGGTTTTTCTTAGTTTTTTTTGGTTGGTAGTTGGTATGAATGTGCGGTTGGTGTATTTTAGATCCCTGTAGAAAGTTTTGGTTCGTTAAATATACTATGTTTTAGTGGGGGGCGGGGATGGGATTTCCTAAAAGATTTCCTGTGAGGGGTTCTCTCTTCTTCTTCGTTTTCGTTTTTTGTCTGATTTCGAGGATAATACGAAATGTGGATACTATAAAAAAAAAAGAACTATATGATCTTGCGTGCGGGGGACAAGATGGAAATATGAATTTTAAGCCGCCACGATTTTTAGTTTTCCGTTTTCGATTCGATTTCAATTTGAATTCCTCGCCTGTGCTGGATGTTGGATGTGGGATATGGGATATATTCCTTTTGCTTTTTTTGTACACCAAAATTGCAATTTTTGCACCACCACCGCGGCGCACAGTGGGCCGCCGATTGGAGCAAGGAGCACGACCAGTGGGTGCGAGCCGTGCGCAATTGAAAGCGCGGCAGCGAAAGCAGGTCAGAAGTCCCCGAGAGCGGGCGGTGAGACAAAAACAGTCGCGTTGATTGGTTGTCGCAGTCGCACCAACGTCGACCCCGTAAGCACACACATGACAAAGAGTGGGAAGGAAATAGATATAAAAAAAAAAAATAATCAATTTTAAACGTTGAACATTTTTCGTTGGGCAGGCACACAGAATATATCTCTCAGATACGGATATTTTTCAAGCCGAAAAAAGCACTGGTTTACGAATCGAAATCGGTTTTTAACTGCGCCCCCTGATAATCATAGATGTAGGCGGAAAATACCCGGAGTCTACTGCATTTTCCCCACTCGTCGTAGAGTATGAAAATTTTTTTTCTTTTAGCACATACACACACATTACCATAGATCAGTAATTTTTCTTTCAATTTTCATTCACCGGACAGTTCCTTGCTGACGACAAAACGCTACTTACACGCAGTGTTAACTTTTTATACGCAAAACAAATTCCCGTCTTCAACTACACAAATAACTGAAAATTTTGTTAACGAAGCCACCAATCTGTAACTTTTCATTTGCACTCTACAATTGGCAGCCAACACCTAGAAACAAATTAAGGGTGCAAGGAAGCAGTATCGATGTATTCGGCTGTTATCGATAGCATGGATACATATTCGGAGACCAGCGCATTCACACTTTGGGCGGAGGACGTGAAAATACGGAGCTATTTTTAAGGTATTTTTTAATTTTTAAACTAAATGTTGGATTCTATTAAGGAAAATATTTATCACTTAAGAGTATAAGAAGTTTAATCATAATGCTTTTTAAAGGCAAGTTAATTTCAAGTCACTTGTGTGCTTAAGAAATATTAAATTTTAGGCGACCTATAAAATACTTATTTTATTTATATCCATTATTTTATTGACCTATCAAATGTATTTTACCAGATATAAATTCGCCTATTCGATTTGTATTCTGTTTCCACTGATACTATATTTAAGGGATGTTTAATAGTAGATCACATATGATTCGTGACATTAACAGTAAAAAAGTTAAACGATCTCTAAAAAATGGTTATGGAGTGATCATAAAACAGCTGGAAACGAAATCGATTATGTTTAGTTATCTTCATACATCGATATGATACTTGGGATTCGATTAATATCGAACAATTTAAGAACAAATGAATCACTGAAGAGAAAAAAAAACGGTTTTACTTATTCTCTTGAAATATATTTATGATTTATGATGATGCTTTTAAATATCTTATGTTTGGATATTTAATTTTCCCCAAACATTTGGGGGAAAAGACCGGTTGCCGGAACATCGATTTATTTCCACCCCCAAGAATGAATTTTTAACGTGTTGAATAGCATTTAAGATCTCTCCAAACGCAGTCACACTACCTGTAGTTAATTGTATATTTTTTGTTTATATTGTATATATTATTTATTAACTATGTTTAAGCTAGCTTTTAAGCAATACAAGGCGAAAAGCAGTAGTCCCGACTTAACGGAGGTGATTAATGTTGATGATATTGAAGCTATTCAAAACGATCCACAGCAAAAAGATAATGTAAGTACTCGACCTGTTGCACATGCAATTGAATACTGGAGTTATCTACCTATTTACTATCTTAGAATGTTCAACGTTTAGATATCAGCAATGTAAGAAATATTCAGATGATGCCAGGCATTAAATCGCCAAGTGACTGGCGATCTTATGCACTTACTCATCATCCTGGTATTATTATTATCCGGAACCCATTTACAGAGCGTGGCCGGCGTTATTGGATTGCTCGATGTCTACGGGACTATCCGCGGAAACCAAATATTGTCAACTTGAATGAAAGACTCTTCGAAGATTCAGTAAGATCGGACTGGTGGAAACAGCTTAATCTGTGCAGCGATGGGGAAGAATTCCAACGGATAAAATCGGCGATGCGTTGGACCACATTTGGATATCATCACAACTGGGACACAAAGCTCTACGATGAGCAGATGCAGTCACAGTTCCCAGAAGATTTAAGCAATCTGTGTCGATTGTTTGCGTCCACTTTAGGATACAGTGATTTTAAGCCGGAAGCTGCAATAGTAAATTATTATCCAGTTGGAAGTACTTTATCGGGCCATACGGATCACTCCGAGCCCAATAAATCCGCCCCATTATTTTCATTTAGGTAACATAAAAAAAGGTGTCCCTTTCGCAGAGTTTAACTTGTTATATATTTTACAGTTTTGGCCAGACCGCAATATTTTTAATCGGAGGAAGAACTTTGGAAGAAAAACCCACCGCAGTTTATCTTCGGTGTGGAGACGTTATGATAATGTCCGAAGAGTCACGACTATGTTATCACGCTGTTCCCCGCATTATGAAAACCCAGACCCTTTGGACTTCTACCCTGACAAATGAAAATGCCGATGATGCTGATATTGGATCACATCTGTTGGATATGGACTTATTTCAAAATGTAGGGAAGCCGAATTTTTGGCTTCCTTTTTCGAATTATATTGGCGACTCCCGTATTAATATTAATGTACGTCAAGTGCTAAACCCAGGAGATTCAAATTTAGGAACCCTTTAAGCGAACTCATTCTTATTTCTCAATTGAGTTTTAGTTATTTTATAACTTAAAGTAAACTGTTTATATTCAGGGAATTTTTTACGTACATAAATAAAAACCGAATTTGGTTGGAAAATATTTCTGTGACGCATCGGAAATAGCTTAGAATTGAATTTAAACGGATTTTTTTTTCATGACTAAAAAATAAAGTTTTATATTGAGCTAGCTGTCTCTGTAGAACTCTCGTTTTTATTATTTCTTTAATCATTAAAGCCAAACAAAATAAATATAAAAAAAGATCGTGCAAAAAGGAATTTTAAAATAAAAATAACATTATTTTTTAGGTTATCGGTTATTTAGAATTAAAAAAGACGTGTTTCAATTTAGGAACTGCGAATGTTTCCCACAATATTAAAAAATTAAGCTTCTGGTTTTAAAAATATGTAAAATATACCGGTGGTTCACCACCAGAACATTGCTATTATCAGTAAATATATCGATATTTTTTATATTACAATAAGTCACTTATTGCCTTTTCCTTTGATTATTTGATTTGGAAATAACAAATCCAGTAAAATAGAAATATCCAAAAAACTAGAAGCCTTACTTTGGTAGCGAACGCTAACTATCGAAACCATCGGACCTGTTATCGAACGCGAAATCGGACGTTGCTACAGTGGAAACGGGCGTATCTATCAAACTAGAATTTTTCTCGAATGGTTTCAGTCGTTTTTCTGGGAAAATGCCGATGGTCGTCGAACGGTCACACTAAATACTGAATTTTAAAATAATAAACGATACGACGCCGTGAAATTCCAGTGTAGGAACGTGAATAATTAGATAAAAAACCTAAGAGTGCGTACATTTAGAGTAACAGTTGACATTTGAAATGATGGAAGTGTGACTTAATGATACTTATATGCATGTGCAAGCGAGTTAGCTCCTAGTTTTATACCCGAAATATACATCACATAGCGAATAATGTTTGGCATAGGTGTACGGATATCGTGAAATGTGAACATTTCACTCTGCATGTTTTGGATCATTTTGGATGGCTGAGCATGTCCATGGACAGATCCTCAATTAATTGCAACCTAGAGGTAATCAAGAGCACAATTGGCGTTAATCCGCATTCGAATTCAAACCAGAATCCGAATTCGAATCCAAGCGAACAATTCGATTTCGATCGCACCGAGAATGATGCGACGCACCCAATATTACGCAGCGATCACCGACACCAGGGTGAACTGGTCCAATGTTTGACGTGCCGCATGCAATTCAAGAGCTTCTCCTTCAGCGACATATGCGCTCACTACATTTTCACGCACAGCAATCGGAACAATTGCGATTTTAGCAATCACCTGTACAAGTGTCTCTATTGCAAGCGCGACGTTCACTATTTCCTGCGAGCGGAGAAGTCCGATCCCGAGATCTATCACTTTTGTTCACCGCGGAAACAAAGTTAACCGATCTATACCTTATACACCACAACCATATACGATATATTCTAACTAAAAATGGCGAGTGCCAGCAGTGAGAATGGCGAGGAGCTAATGGTCTACGATGGGAACTCGGATTCGGAGGAGTCCGAGTACTCGGAGACCGAGGATACCCATGATGGCGACAAGGAATCGCCACTAATCACACCGCATAGCAATGCCGATTCGGGTTGTCCCCTGGAGGTCTCCCTGCCGGATCCCAAGTCGGCTGGCCAAAAGGGTCAGAATAAGAGCAATAGCAGCACTGGTACCAGTACCAGTACCAGTGTTGGGGCAGTGAATCCCAACTATGGCTTCGGCAAACGTTGGTCCAAGTCCGAGGATGTGCTGCTCAAGAAGCTGGTGGAGAAGCATGGCGAGAACTGGGAGATCATCGGGCCGCACTTCAAGGATCGCATGGAACAGCAGATTCAGCAGCGTTGGGCCAAGGTCCTTAATCCCGAGCTGATCAAGGGTCCCTGGACGAGGGATGAGGACGACAAGGTCATCGACCTGGTGCGCAGCTTTGGACCCAAGAAGTGGACCCTCATAGCCCGGTACCTGAATGGGCGCATCGGGAAGCAGTGCCGCGAGCGGTGGCACAATCACCTGAATCCGAATATCAAGAAATCAGCCTGGACCGAGGAGGAGGACAAGATCATCTACCAGGCCCACATCGAGCTGGGCAACCAGTGGGCAAAGATTGCCAAACTTCTGCCCGGACGCACTGATAATGCTATCAAAAACCATTGGAACTCAACAATGCGTCGTAAATATGATGCCGAACGCAGGTCGGCGAATGCATCTGGTAGCGATTTGAAGAGTTCGCGAACCCATCTTATAACGCTGATCAAATCGGGTGGCATCAGCAAGGGGCAGCATAATAATATGCAGCTCAAGTTGACTTCCACGGAGACAACAGATAACAAGCCAGCCACAAAATCCGATAACGCTGAGGGCACGCAATTGAATAATGTAAAACCTGAGATCACCGAGTCACAAGATTCTTTGGGAACCGATAATTACCTCAGCTCTCTGGGTACTCTGAATTTGAAGATGTCACTACCGCGCCAAACACCGAACATCTTGAAGCGGCCGCGCAAAAACATTCCCGAAACTCACCTTCAGGCTGGTCCATCGAACGGGGTTTACGGCCAGGAAGATGCTGCCAAGCCCCGTCTGCCCGGTTCGCCTGTTATAACGCCCATCAAATCTCTACCCTTCTCGCCGAGCCATTTCCTAAAGTCGCCATGCCTGACCACATTCGAGGATATGAACTTGCGAGCCAGCACACCAGTGACCAAGGTCTACAATCGCGTTGGCATGGAGATCAAGAAGGAGCTGGAGACCTCATCCATTGAAACTCCACACAAGAGTAAGTATCTGTATACATTTCCCATGGCAACTTAATAACATAATCATTTCTGTTTTTAGGCCAACTTGGACCGCGAACACCAACGCCTTTTAAGAAGGCACTAGCTGCCATTGGCAAGAAAAGGGACGGTCGTCGTTATGAACCCTCTAGCCCGTCCAGTTTGGCGGAAGATCTGGCTGAGATCATTCACGAAGAGCATCTTAGCAATTCCCTGAATGGAAACAATTCCAAATTGACAGTTGGTGGCGATCAAAGCACTTCGTTTAGCACCGAAAACAATGCCCAGTCGCCAGTTTTGAAACGTGCCAGAAAATCACTGCTCTCAACTTGGAGCTCCAATCATCCTTCCAACGGAAGCAACACCAAGAAGGTTCAACCTTTTGAAACCGAGACGCCCAGCAAGTTTCTCACGTCTCCAGGCAACATTTTGAAGGACACGCTCTGCAGCGAACAGGATCTGCCGTTCGACGAGGGCCGAAAGGAGAATCGACCATTCCATAACCGCAGAAGCTACAAGTACCGTGGTGCGTTGTCCTACGATCATGTCATCGATCCGAAATGGGCTCGGGTGGCCTGCGGCAAGACCAAAGATCAAATATTTATGGAGGAGCAGGCCTATGCGTGTCTTAAAAATCTCTCCTGTATACCACGTTCCCTTAACTTTGAAAAACAAAAATGTTTGGTAAACTCATTTGACCGCTTTGGTTCGCTATAATTTTTTCATGTTGCTATAAGAGGTATTACAAAAAATATTATGAGTATCATTTTTTTATAATGTAGATACATACGGCTCCTTAAAATTGCACATACATTTGATAACACTTTCGTTTGATGAGCAACGCATTTCAAAATAAGATTAAAAGTACTACATTTATTGCATTATTGGTTACACACACCTTGATTTGTATCCCATTTTTTCGTATATTTAATAAATAAATAAGCTTAAATTGAAAGGAGCTTGTCTTTAAAAAAAACTTGGGAATGTTGGCCGTGTAGCAGGAAATATTTCAGTTTTCGAAAAGTATTTAAAATGTAGCTTTCGGCATTTGTAAAGAACCTTTAAATAAAATTGCATCATATATTTTTTTCATGTATATAAAATAACAAAAGAAAACAAGTTTATCAGTCATTTGTAACTATATTGATGTTTTCTTATCAAAGGGAATAAAAATACATGTCAAATGTATAGTTTGGTTAAGATTGCCATAAAGCATCTTTAACTTGTATTTATGTTTAACAAGTCTAGATATTTTGGCACAAGTTGCTGCGCTGAGAAGCGTTCGAAACTAAATGTTTCGAAAAATTGATCGCGCTGTTTACGAAAGACCCTCGGATTTCGACAGAAGTTATAGAGCTTCTTGACCAAAGCGTTGGATGTGTTGTAGAGGTTTTCCTTTGGATAGATTTCAGGGTAAACCAATTTATTGGGGACTATGGGATAGCAACCACAGTAAGTGGCCTCCAGCATCGCCACGCCGAAGAACTCGTGGTCAGCAGTTGAGATGACAATATCACCGGAGAGCAGGGTCTTCACATACTCCTCTCGTTCCAGATGACCAAAGTGTACTAGCTTATCCCCCAGCTTCTCTTGGATATTATCGAAAGCCTTTGGAATCTCCTGGTAGCTCTCGCCACATATGGTCACCTTGAAGTCCACATTGCGCCCATTGAGCTCGTAAAGCGTCTCAGCCAATAGCTTTGGGTTCTTGTCGTGCTCCCAGCGATGTGGCCATATAAGGTGCAGGCACTCCTGATCCTGATCCAGATCGGGATTATCTTCTTTTGGGGTCTCCCGTTTGTTGGGAAATCGCTGAAACTTGACAGGGAAGTACAGCACTTGGCATTTCTTTTCAATTTTCTCCCGAATTTGCTTGATCTTAAAGTCTGGCTGGATTTTAAGGAAGGGCTGTACATTATCCAGAAATGAAGTGCAATTGAACTGGGAATTGAAGAGCACGATGTCAGCGGCGAGGCTAAAAAAAACGGTGTAATATAGAAAAATAAACAGAAAACTTGATGATCTAGTGACTTACCAGGATAGGATCTCATTGAAACCGTACTGACAGTCGCGCTGCTTCACCTCACGCACTGGATAGATCAGCTGGTTTTCGTGGAAGTATACGATCTTCCGGCACGTTCCAAGATCCGGACGGACGCCAATCAGTTCGGCCAGGCTGAGTACGGAGCTGGTAAATAGCACCCGGTATTCGTGATCGAGAGGTATCAGCTGGGAAAAATGCAGAGCGGAAGTACGTGCTCGCCAATGCCATTTCTTGGCGGGAAGGCTGAATATCTCATAGTCAGTTTCGCTGAGACCTGCGAATTGGTGTTATGGTTAAGGACATGAGTAGAGTATTACACGACCTACCCTCGATCAGTGTGCCAATCAGCTGTTTGTGACTGCCCCCGTAAAACGGCTCAATAATCAAAATATGCGGTTTGGCGGACGACATTACTTCGGGCAGTTGGAAAAGTGTGACCGGTGAGAAAAATACTTTATTTGAAATATTAATATAGATAAATCAGTTAATTTAATTAATAAAAATAAAATCAAGTAAAACATTGAAATAAAAAAAAGTTATTTATAACCAAATATTCAGCATGTACAAAAATGTCTGAGTTTTTTTTTTAAATATCAACGATTTTTAAGAAACTGTTCTATGTAAATCATTTATTGGTAGTGTAAACATTTTTATTTATTTTCGCAAAATCAGCTGTTCGGACCTGCGAAACGAAAAAATACCTACCAGCGGAACCCGCCCATAAATGGCTGCTTTCTGCACTTCCAAGCTGGTCACACTGATTTTATAAATGCAAAAAATTGAGTATGTATAAGTATTTACCATCGTGTCGTTATAGGAAAATTAAAAATTGTGTCATCTCGGGCTAAGATAAATGCCAAGAGGTAAAACCCAAGTGAACCCTAAGTATATCGATGGTGAAACGCCCTTTGTTCGCAGCTGAAAACGTCTATCAAAGTAAAAAATTAAACACAAGAGAGAGAAAAATTGAACGCGAAAGTACTTTTATATCCAATACCATCTCACATACCCACATACATATGCGCACATATGTACAAAGGCATTAATATATAATTAAGAAATGTTTGAGCAGTTTAGCATTACAAATAAGCAATTATTGATGTAATATATGTGCATCTGAGCGTTCGTATTCATAATATACACTGCTTTTACTCTATTTTAGTGTCTGGACATTGGGCATAATAAACACATACACATACGCATATACATATGTATTAGTGCGCAGATATATAAAGAAAACATTGAGAGAGAAAAAAAACAATCCGTATAATTGTTTCAGTCAGTGGAAAAACCATTGAACGCAATCCAATTAAAATTCTAGTGTCTGAAAAGCGAGCTATGTAGTCGGATTTGTAGATTATGTACGATTGTATTGGACTAGGAAATAATCGAAAGTTACATCAAATCGTTGAAAATCGAAGAAAATCCAAGAAAATGGCACTTGCAAATGATGGAAACGATTATAATCAATCCGAAAAGTTGCCCATTTCGATTGGCTTTACTGGGCAATTGTTAAATCAGTGAGCTACTGAGTGAGGAATTACCTAAAAAGGGAAAAACACCCTCTCGCCATGTCGGTAACATCTTCGATTGAAAAGCCCACAACTACTGCAGTTCAGCAACAACAGCAACATCAACAACAACAGGAAAGCACAGCAGCAACCACTACAACAGCCACTATTGCGATTGCAGCTGGCCAACAACAACAGCAACAACAACCGCAACAACAACAACCGAAGCGAAAATCCTTGAATCCAAAACGTTCGTACTCCCTATCGTCATCGAGTGCATCCAGTTCTGGTTCCTTTGGGGCGATAAGGTCCGCGACATCGCCATTAGTCAGCGAGCAAGAGAGAAAGGGTTCGGCCGGAAATAATCAGCAGGGGCAGGCCTTTTTGCCATTCAACTACTGCACCGATACCGTAGCAGCCGTTCATCACCAGCGACAGTCGTACGCATTGGTCCAGAAACCACCATCCTTGCGTTACCAAGGAAAGCCCCACACCCATACCCATAACCAAACCCATTCGCATCACCATCATCATCAGCTGCTGGCCAACTTCTCGCCAACGATGACCTCCTCGGAGCCCTCGTCCCCCTTGGCCGCCGAAGGCTCTGGATCCGGAATCCTCAGCCCATCGGAGGTCACCACCCATTGTTGCACCAATGTCAAGGCCAATATCACTCCGTTGGCCACACAGAAAATGCATCGAACAATACCATCTGATAAAGTAAGTGTGGTACACCTGACTGGTAAACCCCCCAGAAACTTCAGAGCAGTGTTATCGCAACCCCTTGCCCTAAATGTATAGTAGATGCAGGAAATATATTTCCCAACCGACACTTGAACTTTTTTTACCAACACTGTTATGAAATTGACCTTCCCAATTTAATCGAAGGCCAAGCAGGTAGCCTTTGTTTTTTTCCTTTGCTTTTGTATCTGTGTTTTTGTACTGATAATGTTGAACAAATTTTTTAATTTTTTTTTTAAATTCTGATAACTTAGAAAAATAATTTATGAGTGTTATTAAAGCTGAGTACAATCTTAGAAACTATTTCGTTAGAGACATTTTTTTTCTTAAAACTTTTTGTTTAATCTCTCTTATACTTTGAACTTTAAGAATCTAACATGAATATTTTAAACTAATAAAATCTTTTGTAATTTCAGATTAACCTACGCCTCATTCTTGTTAGTGGTAAAACAAAAGAATTTATTTTTAGCCCGTCAGATTCCGCAGGTGATATTGCACAAACAGTATTTGATAATTGGCCAGAAGGTGAGTAAATTTAGTGTTATGTTTATTTTTATGAATACCTTACGACTTATTAAGCCAAATATTAAAATATAATGGAGTGCTTTTGTTTGTGCCTTAAAAGAGCTATGAAAAGGCTATATATTATGAAAGAGCTTGATCTTTGATCTTTTCTCATCAAGAAAAGTTATTGTTTTGTTTTCATTAAGCACAAAATAGCAAATATTGTATAATTCTTGTTCGAAATAACCATTCAGATCATATGATTGCAGTTCAACTTAAAGATACGGGTAGTTCAAATCAGTGTTTAGTCCTATTGGTCTAATTGGGGTGATATATCATAAATTTTAGACTTACATATAGATTTCTAACAACTTAATCTATATAATATTAATATTTTTCTTATATTTTCTAGATTGGACTCACGAAACTGTAGCGAAAGCCGAAATCTTGCGCTTGATTTATCAAGGTCGTTTTCTTCATTGCAATGTAACTTTAGGAGCGCTGGGACTTCCATTAGGCAAAACGACTGTTATGCATTTAGTGCCACGTGATAATTTGCCAGAGCCCAATTCACAAGGTAAGTTTTAAGACTGTAATTATTAGCTATAATAACTAGAAAACCTTAAAGGCCTTCATTAGTTTTGGCTTCACGAAATCTGTTTGTTTCTAATTTGATTTTTCTTTATTTTAGATCAAAGACAAAATAGTAAAGGCGGTTCTGGACGATGCTGTTCCACAAATTGCTCTATTTTGTAACTAAATTATTATATAATAGTGTAATATTTAAATTAATTTGCATTAAACAAAAAAAAAAGAAATAAAAAAATATATGTATAAATTACATTTTTGTGCAGTCAAAAGTATATTTATTAAACTATAAAAATGTATGTCCGGATGAACAAGGCGCTTTGTTTAAAATATTAATGTACATACAATATATATTTTATATATATACCACACAGGAATTCATGAGCATCTGCAAAATGCGTATACTCTGTATTAAAGTTGCTAGACTGCATATTTATAACATGTAAAATACGGATACAATGCTAATTGCTTTTAGAAATCGGACTTGTTAACCTAATTAGAAAAAGAGTAATTACAACACTTATTTCAAATATGTCAAGAATATTGAAAAAACCTAATTATGTGAAAAATAAGTAATTCTCCCCCTGCGTTCTGCTTTTAAGTGTGCGTCTATGAAAACATAAAATCAGCAATTACTTGTCAGATTGATTCTTTAACACGATTAAAGAAAATTGAAAATTTTTTTGTTCTGTATATATACCATATTTAATTAGATTTTAAGTGTTTTCTTCTGTTAAGTTTTAAAATATTATCTGTAAAGTCTAACTTAAAGTCAATGATAAATAAATAATCTAATATATCCTTTATTTAGTGTTGGTCTTATTTAAAGAGGAAAGTGGGATGGAAAGTATTAAAAAACATAGTGTGTAGTAAAAGGTCGGAAGCACGAATTTTTAATTTGGTTGATCCAGATATTTGAGATTTTCGGACTATTATCAGGATTTTCGTAACGGCCAAAGGTGTTTTTAAATAAATCATTTCCATTTGAAGATGTAAAAACTATAAGTTTTAAGAACTATGCTAAAATGTTTATATTTAAAATATTTTCAAAAAAAAAATTAAATTTAAAATTTTGTTTTCCGTTTTATTATAAAAGTTGTTTAATTTTGTGACATTATTTCGATGACAGAAAATAAATATGAATAGTGAGAACATTGAAAAATGAAACGAGGCCGGTGTTCCATTTCCACTGTTCCTCTGTCGTGGCCAAATCATCGACGTTATCTTGACACACAAAAAATAGTATTTAAAGTATATTTCTGATAACCAGACGGTATATTTTGATGATAACTTTCCTGCGGTCACACTAGCCCGATTCTGAAAAGGAATATCTTAATTTATTTTGAGTAGCGTGAATATATTTCGAATAATCCGATCACAATGACTGCCTGGAGAGCTGCCGGAATTACGTAAGCATTACACAAGTGTCTAATCTATCAAGAAACGTGATGGTTTAGAAATTACCACAAAAAAGCATTCGGTGCCGGATTACATAACATAATTAATACAAATATTCCCGATTGCAGCTACATCCAATATTCCAACATCGCCGCTCGCGTTCTGCGGGAATCCCTGAAAGGACCCCTGCGTGCCGATGCCGCCAAGCGCGACGCGAGTCATGTGAAATTCACTCCCTGGGCAAATGGCAAGCCAGCACGTACGTATCCCCACATTTGGCCGATTTTTATTTGCTTATTGCCACCTGATTGACCTGCAAAATAGCAGGCATTATATAAAGCTATTTAAGTAGTTAAGGAATAACTTGGAATCCAAGGCAAACGCATCATCATAATCAGTCTTATCAGTCCTAAAATAACTTTCAATCGAATTCCAATCAGACGTCCTTTAAAATCTGATTGGAAGAGATTTCTGAAAAATCTGGTTTTCAGAAAAATTTGCCTCCAAGTTAAAAATCCTTCGTTATGGTAAAGATTATTAACTTCAGAAAATCCCAAAAAAAGAGGGAGTGTATAATTAAGTTCGAACTTTCCTACGCTTTTACAATAAGTGTTGCCTACTTGCAGGCGCAAATTGGAACATTTCCTAAAATTTTGTTTATTTTCAATCTAATTTTCTAAATTTAAAGTTAACTCTAAACTTAAAATACGGATTGCCATTAAAAGACAAGGAGCAGTCCTATAAGATTCAATATGTTACCTTCCCATGTTGCATTTTTTTAAACTAATTTCTGGAACTTCCCCTTTTTGGGTACCTCTTCCAAAATATATTATATCAAATATAAAATATTGCTTTTTGGTAATACAAAAATAGTTCGCGCGTGAAAAAATTCTATCAATTGCCTTAGAAAAAAGCTAAAAAGACAAAACCGTTAGAATATTTTTAGTTCTGCTTCCTAAACAAACGCTGAACGTTTTTATAAAGCTCAAAGTGGACATTCAAGTTGGATTTGTGTTTTATATTTCGCCTTATTTGTACGTATTTTTCAGATGAAAGGACTTAGTTGTTTTGTCGACAATTTAATAAGTTAAAAACTGGCGTAAGTGCCAGCCATTGCAAGGCTGAACCCGATTGTTCCCAGTGTTTGCACAAAAACTCAAAGAAAGTTTACGTGCCTAACTTTGTTCTTATTCCAAAAGTATCTAACTACGTTTTCAAACTTATCTGCATGCAAATGAGATAATTATTAAACCCCCAACATTCCGGCCCAAAAGTTTACAGCCAATGAACTATTAACTCACATCTTTGTATTTTAAAAACATTTTCCATTGCCCATTGCTTATCTGTTATTTTTCTTATCCACAGAGCGCCAAACCAGCCAATAGGAATCCTAGATGCTTTGCAGTGGTCCCCCAAGCATGATCTGCAACAATTAACATCTACCATCGTTGCAATGTTGTAAAATCATCAAATATGAAAACAATTTAAATAAATTTGAATTATTTAAACGAGATGTTTTAACTTTTCCTAAAAATGGCATTTATTGGGCGTTCCCTTGGGAGATCGCGGCCGATGAAACGGATTTCTAGCAATAGAATACAAGTAAATTGAACAATTTTGGTAGTGTAGTCATTAATGGATTGTTTTTCTTTTTACTAAAATTGTTTTCAACGCGTATCAGTAAACAAACAAAAAAATTATTTCATACTCACTGCCGAACCAATTGAATTGTTACTTATATTTTGCGCTTTACATATACATATAGACATTATTTATGTTAATTATTATCCTGTTAGTTTATATTTTAATTTAAATATATATTTTTAAGGTAGAGTATTTTGGATTATCCTTCAAAAATTATCGTTTTGCTACCACTAAAGACCGATTAAATTGCTATCGAAGTGCTATTTTAATTGCGGCATTTGTATGTTCTTTTGATGATGTCGTCGTATTATGTTCTATGTCATCGGATGCGACCTTTCAATGGTTGGCGAGATTGCAGCTCCTCCCATCTTTGATCATAAGTCCTTTAGAATGGCACTCTTGGCGTTTTTCAATTTGTCAAGGCGTTTCAGCAAGTGGTTGTTTGACGTCTCGGCTTCCTCCAATTTTTCCAAGAGTTCCCGGTGCTATGGGGATATAAAAACACATTAAATAAATGCCTACAAATATTTCTTATTAACATTTTTCAACTCACCTCGCGTTGCAGCTTACGGCGCTCGACTTTCAGCTCTGCCTCCGCCTTTTCGGCGGCCTCCGCAGTGCTTTTGTATCGAATCACCTGAGTCTCTGAACGGGCTAAGCTCGATTGCAAGTTGGCGATTTCCTGTTCCGCCTTTTGCAGCTTATATTTATGGTCTGAAATGATTTTGTTTGATTCCCCTGTCGGATAGTATAAGAAATAAGACTCATAGTATAATACAGATATTTTGCAGTTGAGTTGTACCCACAACTGCGATAATTATATACAATTTATTGTTAAAAAAACAAAAGTTATGGGGATATACAAAAATGCGAATAAATGCAGCCGATCTATACGAATCGGAAATATAGAAATGATATATATATATATAGATCATTTAAAAAATGATAAATACAAAAATTATAAAAATATAACTATAAGATTACAAAAAAATATCATTCTGAAAATCAGTTAATCAGTTAAGAAAGAATTCTTGTTAATTTTTGTGATGTCAAGGGGGGGATAAATATAATAGTAAGGAAACTTTACATGCGAAAAGCATAGTGTTGTCATTATGTAATTATGGGTAACGTACGTTGGGCCTCGTAATCATTCTCATCACCAAAGGAACCTTGCGAAAGACTGCGACGTCCAGTCATCCCATCACTTTTATACTCATCCAGCTGTTCGTGTAGCTTTTGCACCTCTGCCAGCAGTCGCTGTTTCTCGTCACTGAACTTCTTGAGTCTTACATCTGAAACGAAACGAGTGGCGTTGGGAAACGATGAACGTAGGGGTCAGACTATCGCCTTCTAACGCAACAGTGGACATTCACCTAAAGAACCCTGAACGGACGCCAAAACCTTTGCGTTCTCAACACTCACTAGAGCTCTCTTGGCATCGCTGCCATCGGCATTTTCAACTGCCACAATCAGCAGGCCCTGTTCGGCTATCAACGAGTCGCGCTCGTTCAGCTGTCCTTGTACTAGTTTAAGCTCTAGATTGGCGCGGTCCAGGTTCCGCTTGAGGGCATTGCAGTCGCGCATCTTCTCCTTGAACTCGCGCTGCAGCTGGGCAAAGGACTCCTCCATGATTTCGCACTTGTCCTTAAGCAGCTTAACCTCATAGGCCTGCGAGGCACGATCGTTGTCCAACTGGGCATTCGTTATCATGGCTTTCCGAAACCGCTCCTCAACATCCTGCCATGGAAAAGGTAAAATACATTAGTAGGTTGTAAGGCAGAAGTAAGGGCAGCTGTTATATACCTTAAGCTCGTGCTTGAAGTCGCGAAAACTTCTGCCCTCCTCCTCAACGGAGTCCTCGCTGCTGCGGCGGGATGCTGAGGCACGGGATACGTTTATCAGGCCGCCGTAGGCGAGGCGCACGGGATGCGCCGAGAGGGTTTCGCTGCCCACGGCACTGGAGTTGTGCATGTCGAACACCCGGTCGGCGGATATCTCCTGCTCCTTCTGCTGGCGCTCCAGCTCCTTCATGCGAATCTCGCGGGCTTCGGCACGCGCCTGTCGACGCGCGGCGAGTCGCGCTTCCGCCTAAATAGGGAAATTTTATTATAATTTAAATACAAATTTGTTGATTTATGTTATATTGTAACCTCATAGTCATTTTTAATTGTTTGAAGTGTTGCAGTACTTGAAAATATACTCATAAACTCGTTTTCGTTACCCCTAAAACTAAGTTTTTGAATGCAGTGCACACTAACTTCTAAATTTCGTCATGTTTAAACCTAATAAAGTTATCAATTAGCTATGGAATTTTGTAATTTTAGAATTATTTTTAGATAGGAAATGTTTACCATAAAATTAAATGTATTGTTCTAAAATGTTGAGTTAAATTAAAATAGATTTCATTTCTCTTTACTCCACAAAAAATGGATGAAAGTGTCACTTTTGACATGTGATCATTAGTGACAGATCTGTTAATAATGACTAATATATTCGAGTTCGAGAACCATATTTATCCATTGGTAATATAAATAAAATCCTCTCTGGTTAACTTAACTCTTCTTTTAATTTTGATTATGGTTTTATCAGAAATGCTAATAAATTGAATGGATTTTTAAAATGTTTACCTCTTTTGTAATTTGATCCAGGGCATTATCTTCGGCATTGATTCGCATGTTGTTCCGCCGCCGACCTGTAGTGCTGATACTTTCCATCGAAACTGAACTCAATTTAACTTTATGTTTTATAATTAACGTATGCGGTCGCACGCTGCTAGAATAAAATAAACTTGTTTAAGAAAATCCTATTTAAACTCTTGGAGTGTATAGAGATTGTATACTAATTTAATAGTTTCGGTATAAGAACTTTCTTAAAAGAACTCCAAAGTGGGATAGCTATTCACAAATTCCTTTAGTTTAAGCAACATGTAATCAAACAAACAAGTTGTTTTAAAACTACAAGAAAGATAGAACCCGTTTCGCATTAGTAAACATTTTGGAATGTTATTGATGATCTTATGCGAATGCTATGATATGATATGGATACCTTATCATCGGAACACTTGTTATCTGGTAGAGCCTTATATAAAAATCGGTGTATATATTCCTATTGGTGCCGAAACCTACAAACATACGACCGAAATGCGTATCGATGTATGAAAATAAAGTAAACTTTTTTTTGCATTGCTCTGCATAATGACTTTTTTTTAACTTTTACAAATTCCTCATCGACACTTGACAATTTGGCAGCACAGAAACTTAAAAACTAGTTTATGTCCAGTTTATAAATAGGCAATGGCAGCTCAACAATGTTCATCCCCGGAAAATGCGTTTTTTAGCCACTATTTATATTTGTAAAATTTGTAATTTTAATGGGAGCGGCGTTACACACATCTGTTTCCCCTAATTTATGCATAGGTTTCTCCGCTGGGAATTGTGCACTTCGGAAGCACTTCAAGTTGCTCCCCCCACTCCACTTCAAATAGTTATACACAAGGTGACAAAATCTATAAATTAATTAAACACACATACACATAAAAGGTTTTGAGAGACACCTTTTTAGCGAAAGAACAATCACAATTAATCACAATAGAGATGGGCGAAAAATCGATGGATCGATAGAAATAGGCGGAAGAAGGTGAGTGTTATACTGTGCTCCCACTGAGCCACACAAGATGTGGTTGCTAATTTAAATTAATTTTTATAATTATTATTTTCATGTCAACTATTATTGATTGTAGAATAGTGAAACAATTTTATTGCCGAACATTTTTAATCGTTTCAACTGGTGTGAATGTTGACAGTGGGAATACTGCATCGATAAGTAAATGGACTGGCCTTAGACTCTCTATCGATTTCCGATAGTCGATAGCTGTCATCCATGTGGCATCGTTGTGTTCTTGTTGTTGTTATTAATCAGCGAAGCAACAAAAGTCGAAATTAGGAAACATGTCCGAGCTAAATATGGAGCTACAGAAACTCAAGGAACTGGTAAGTGGAAAAACCACAACTCCGCTTCCATACTAAAGCGCTGTCTTTAAAGGAGTACAAGACGAAAGGTCTTGCCACCAGAATAGAAACTGCCAAAAATGGTGACCAGCTCGACGTCGATTTGGTTCAGCTTCAAATCGAAAATAAGAAGCTCAAGAACCGTCTGTTTATCCTAAAGAAGGTAAGAACTTGATCCTCTAACTAGACTTAACAAAAACTAATGTTTAATTTGGTCTTGCAGTCCATTGTTGAAGAATCCACTGCCGGCGGAGCGAAGCCGAAAGATTCCGCTTCGATCACCGAGCATTTGGAAAGTCTGTTTGGCCAAGCAATTGCATCAGCTTTTCCGGAATTCAAAGACACCCCCGTAATAATTGCCCCGGTTAATAGTACATCCGCGAAATTCGGCGACTATCAGTGCAACAATGCCATGGGCTTGTCCAAGAAACTGAAGGAAAAGGGTATTAGTAAAGCGCCACGTGATATTGCAAACGAGCTGAAAGGACACTGCCCACCATCGCCTATCATCGAGAAGCTGGAAATTGCCGGCGCTGGTTTTGTAAATGTTTTCCTTAGCAAGTAGGTGTTACACACGAAATCCATTGTCCATCACCAATTAACTATGATATTTGCAGAGATTTTGCAGCTTCAGCCTTAAGCAGTTTATTGCGTAATGGTGTTAAACCGCCAGAAGTGATCAAGAAGCGCGTATTGGTCGATTTCTCCTCGCCCAACATTGCCAAGCAGATGCATGTGGGTCACCTGCGATCCACGATCATTGGCGAATCGGTATGCCGCCTGCTGGAGTTCCTGGAGCACGATGTGGTCCGCATCAATCA